TTTTTTTTCAAAAAGCTTGTAATGAGATGAGAGGCTTATGCGGTAGGAATTAGTCGCTGAAGGCTGAGCCTTAGATAGAGCTAGCTGATTTCATATCTCCTGTAAGATTTTTTATAAATATAAAACAGATGTTTCTATAACACGAAGACATGAAGCATTCCATTCAGATGTGTACCTAATTATCGTAAATTCGTTGTAATGCACTTGATGTACGTTTGGAGACGATATCATCCCGCGAGTCAATATTTTATCTGCAAGAATTTCCAGTTCAAAGAAACGTAGCATTTTTATTCGATACGATCAAGTGGAAAAAATTGAAAAATGTGATTACAGCAGTGGTGCATTTTTTTAATACGCCGGATGCAACGCCGTTTTCTTGAAAACCCACAACATAGTGTTTTTCGTGAATTATCCGCAATTTGTATTTCCTCCAGAGCTTAATGTGAGCGTTACCAGATTCTTAATTCAGCGCCTTAGTTCAACTTCATCTTACAGAATTGAGAGAGCGAAAATTATCTTGATAAACAAAGTTTATAAAGATAATTTTCGCTAAGTAAGATAAAGTTGGAGAAAAAACTCTCAATCTATGTGTCGAATAGTTCAAAGAAGCCCTTAATTTTTAGTAGTTTTTATATCATTATTACTGCTTCTCTGACTTATATGCTTCCCTCAATACTTTCCTTCATCTGGCCCTTTTTACATTCAGATCATTCATACATATCTTTATAGGATGGCTCCCCATCGCGTCCTGTATAACACCTTATGTAAAATTGGCGACAGAGTTATCTTCCCAGTGTTGCCATCCTTTGCGAAACCGGTTTGGAACCATCCAGCAGGACCTAAAACTGTATTTTTTTGGGCGCCAACCATCAAATGGGCTTTGGTAGCTGCAGGTTTGGCTGACCTTGCCAGACCTGCTCACAAACTCTCGCCGGCTCAGGTAATTTTATCAAAACCTATCGAAGTGAATTCAATTGATCCACTACTGAGAATAACAATATGTTTTCAGAATGCAGCTCTGTGCGCCACAGGAGCTATTTGGACTCGCTACTGCCTTGTCATCACTCCGATAAACTATTACCTTTCTAGTGTGAACTTCTTCGTCATGTGTAGTGGGCTCATGCAGTTGTGTCGAATTGCACACTATAGGTAATTTCAGGGTTCAGATAATCATTGTTCAACACATAGTTTGAGTTTCTTTAGATACAAACATCCAAACTGGCAGCACGAGCATCATCATCTACGTCTTGAAGACTCTTAAGTCTCCCTAACCATTGCTCACTCAGCCCATCTTCCTGCGAAAAGGTGAGTTTCAGACTAAGCTCGTAATTCTGGATTAACGTGATGATGAGAACTACCGAAACCGCATAGTGACTTTTCCTGCAATTTATATGGTGACAAGAATGGATTTAAATTAAGACTAGATAGAAATTTT